TGTTGAGAAGGGGAAAGTACTTGTATTTGCCTCCCTCACCAGCACAGAGGAACTATGCAACACTGAATGAGCCAGTGATGGCCAGGACAAGACTTGGTGGTCCTCCCATATGTAATTTCTAGGACTTTGTGGATGAAACAAACAATTTAGAACAAGCTGGGCTCTACTCTGCCTCATTCATCTTTGTTACATGTTAAATTTTAGCCACAAAATCTTTATTATTGTCATTGATATAACAACCAGGACTGTAACAAGAGTGAGGCAAGTGGGGCGCTTGACTTGGGTGCATAGCTGAGGGGGTGCAGAAAAATAATATAGAAAACTCATTATTTTAAGACAGCTATTAAGCTATCTTTGTTCGTGTCTCGTGCCACATCAGCGCCCCTGCCCGTGTCGAGGACAGTCAACGTCGACCGCTCCTTAGAAGCACTGTTTCCTTAGAGGCGCAATTTTATATTCTTGCCTCAGGCGCAAAATTAGCTAGTTATGGCACTGATAACAACAAGTAGTCCTGTAGCACTATAGAGATGAATATATATATATATATATATATATTTGTTAGTCTTTAAGGACATATCTACACTCAGAAGTTATTTTTAAAAAAACTCCCCTTATTTCAAAATAACAAGGCGAGCATCCACATTACCAAGCCTGTGATTTCGAAATAAAGGGCTTGTTATTTAGAACTAATAACTCCTGCTTGTGAAGGGGAATATTTTGAAATAGTTATTTCAGGAATGATTATTTCAAAATAACTTGGTAGTGTAGACATAGCTCAAGGTACTACAGGACTACTCGTTGTTTTTAAAGTTACAGACTAATATGGCTACTTCTCTGAGATATTGATATAGCATATCTATCTATCTATCTATCTATCTATCTATCTATCTATCTATCTATCTATCTATCTATCTATCTATCTATCTATCTATCTATCTATCAAAGAGCTCCTGTAGGGTCTGATGGCAAAACTAGCAAAATCTTCACCCTGAGAAAATGTCTGGGTGTGTTATCATGGATACATTGTACTTCCTGTTGTTTTTCCGATCATCCAGTTACATGCTGGTGTGCTCTTTACAGCGAGGAATGACTTCGACTGTTTTTTTTTTGTCCAGGGGGGAGGAGGAAGAAAGGGATTATGAGGAGACAAGGGCTTCCTCCTGAAAATGAGTGACTCAGATGCATGTCCCAGGAGATCCATTGCATTCCAAAGAACCCCTCCATTGCTAATTGTTGACTTTGCCACTGGTAACAGTTAAAGTCAGATCTAATCTATGAAGAAATCTACATGCTGCAGCTAATCTCTAGGATGCTAAAGCCCAGCTATACCAGCTACTTGAAAGGGACAGTTCTAAACTCCATCCTGCAGCAGAAGCAGTGCTGGGCTCCTCCTGATTCATGTGAATTTGCAGCCCACTTCTGTCCCTGCTTTACTGTTGCGGCGGAGCTGTTACAGCAAGGAAGTGGTACCGTGTTTCTTTACATTGATGCAAACTCCCAGGGAAAGGCCTCTCGTGGTGTATCTACACTGCACCCGTAACTCAAAATAAGCTACACAATTTGAGCTACGCAAATTGCATAGCTTATTTTGAGTCAATTTTGAAATCGTGTATGTCAAAATTTGACGCTGTCTACACAGAACTTATTTGAAAACAAATCGCTATTCTGAAACATCCCTTACTCCTCATGGAATGAGGTTTTCAGGCACGTCGGAATAGCATGCCCATTATATTTCGAAATAACGGATGCACTCAAACAATGCAGATTAGCTAGTTAGAGAAACCTCCAGTATCCCAAAATAGCACTGCAATGTAGACGTAGCCTCAGTCCCAGTCTCTCAGGGATTATCCCTGCATCAACAGGCAGTGATCGATCCAGAGGGAGTCGATGTATCATGTCTAGTATAGACAAGATAAAACAACAGCTAAGCGCTTTCCCATTAGCTCCAGTACTCCACCAGAATACAAAATGAATATAGAGTCGATGGGAGAGCATCAACTGTGGACTTACCGTGGTGAAGGTACCACTGTAAGTAGATTTAAGTACATTGACTTCAGCTACATTATTGAAGTTGCGTAACTTAGATCAACAGCTGCAGTAGGGTAGACTATACTTCAGTATTGGAAATATAACATACTGATCTTATCCAAATTGTTACAGTTACATAAAGCATGTACCCTGGAAGCAGGGCTAGCTTGTACCATCTGTGCCAATGTCAATGCAGGGGGGACAGCGTGGGACCTTTAGAACGCACTAGTTTGTATGCCTCCATACGGGTAGAAGCTGGGAGCCCAGTAGAGTTTAAGAGCTATTGTACGTACAGTTACCATTCGCCAAGAACTCAGTCAGCCAGCAAGCGGGAAAATGGGAAAGCTAATTATCCCTTTTTTTCTGAATACTGAAATATAGAGCTTTGCAGCCAAGCTTTTGAAAATGGGCATTGTTTTTAGGTGCTCTGAGGCACTTACATATGTCTTATGTTTGACAGCCAGAAACTGCAGCACTTACATTTAATGCCCATTCATGAACCAAACCAAACCAACCAAACAAACAAAAACAACTGACCCACACTCTCTACCACGGTCTGGCTTAAGAAGCTGAGAGCACCAAACATTCATAGCTTTCCAAAGTGCATTTTCCTCCAAACTATGTGTCACATCTAGAATGCACAAGGGATATTTATTATGTGACAGGTTTTTGGCTAGCACCTACTTGGGATGCATTTTATAACCCAGGGTGTGCTACAGAAGAGTACCGTGGCTATCCTGAACATACCACATATGTATTTCAACAGAAGAGTGCCTTGAAAGAACATGGAGGTGGCGTGGGGGGCAGGTTCCAGCCAGTCATGCCAATGCTTTGTGCAGGGGGTGATGCAAAGACGGAGTGCCCCAGTACAAGCACTTAGATGGTTTCATTACTGAGCTTTACGTATAGCAGAAATGAAAGGAAAAGTTTGCACTGGGGATTCATGGCTTTGGAGCCAGGAGCCAGATCCTCACAGGTACACAGGCACTCAACTCTCATTGCTTTCAATGGAACAAAAAACAGGACTATGCAGCACTTTAAAGACTAACAAGATAGTTTATTAGGTGATGAGCTTTCGTGGGCCAGACCCACTTCCTCAGATCAAATAGTGGAAGAAAATTGTCACAGCCATATATACCAAAGGATACAATTAAAAAAATGAACACATATGAAAAGGACAAATCAAATTTCAGAACAGAAGGGAGATGGGGAGGGGGATGTAAATGTCTGTGAGTTAATGATGTTAGAGGCGATAATTGGGGAAGCTATCTTTGTAAAGGGTAAGATGATTAATGTCTTTGTTTAAGCTTAGGTGTAAGCTTAGATAGCTTCCCCATTAACTCACAGACATTTACATTTATTAAGTGATGAGCACAACACTGTTCATTTTTTTAATTGTATCCTTTGGTATATATGGTTGTGACAATTTTCTTCCACTATTTGATCTGAGGAAGTGGGTCTGGCCCACGAAAGCTCATCACCTAATAAACCATCTTGTTAGTCTTTAACGTGATACATAGTCCTGTTTTTTGTTTCAGCTACACCAGACTAACATGGCTACATTTCTATCACTGCTTTCAATGGGGCATGTAAATACCTTTGAGGAGTTGGGCCTTGGAAATTAAACAATTTATTCCTAAGCAGTGTGACCAAGTGAAACTAGCCAGAGACTGTGCCCCAAAGCAATTTAAAAACAACAAAAATCCTTGATATAAAGAGGAACTGGAACAGCAGAACAAGGTGCCTGGCCTCTTGATCTCAGTCATTACACAGAGGGGAGAAAGAGAAACCAAGCCACTGACTGAAAGCAGGAAAAATTCCTGCCCTCCCACTGTGTAAGAAAGACTAAGAAGGACAGTAAGATCAGACAGCTGCCTCAGGAAGCTGCTTTCAAAACTGTCTAAACTAAATAATAATAATTTAAAAAATACCTTTTACTGTTTTGAGAAACCTGAAAACCAATGAGATATTTGCTCCATGTACTCAGCGTATGAGCTTTATTGATGGGTCACAGCTGGTTTCAGCACTGCACTGAGAGCTCCAAGCTTTGGCATGACCAAACATTAACTCGGCATTAAGTGGAAGCTTTTGACACTTGAGACCGCAAAGCTAGAAGGATTACACACCCATTTTAATATCACAACCAACCAACCAAACACCACTAACCTACAGCACGAGCCAGATAAAATGTGTCTGCTGGCAATGTTGGCCTTCCAAAATTGGTGAGTCTTGAACAATGGCATCCAGACCTTCACTTTGACTGTGTAATTTATTTGTATAGATTGCTGGATTCCCCATGCAATTAGATCTCAGGCCATTTCTTTCCCATAGAATATTTTCTGAAACACCCTGCCAAGTTTCAGAGGGGTAGCCGAGCTAATCTGGACCTGTAAAAACTTAAAAAACAACAAACAGTGTTGCAGCGCTTTAATGACTAACAAGACAAGTAGGTGGTATCTTGAGCTCTTCAGATGAATGGAGTATTAAAAGTCCAGTTTCAAAATAAACAGGGGATGGAGGGAAAGGAAGGGAAAAAAATAGTGAATTAGTGTGTTCAAGTGTTTGAGATGCAGACTTGAACAACAGATTAGGAAAGTCATGAATAATCTTAACAACGGGCCTCATCCAATGACTCCAGTGGGCTTTAGATTTAGGTTCCAAATTGCTGAATCCAAAACACCCTGCGATTTTGGGAAGTTCTGAAATCTAGTCTGGCATCTTAGATTTCCCCTTCATCACCTCGCTTGTTCTTGTCACACAGACACAAAGCAGAAGACTCAATGTCCAAAGGGCGGTCCATGGGATGTTTATTGGAGTTAGTTCTAATCAAGCATCTCCCCAGCTCTACATGTCAGCGGAGTCTGCTTCTCGGTGTTCTGTTCCCGTCTGTGACATCACAGAGCCATGACCTCGAGTCCTGCTTCCTAGCTCTGATGCCACAGAGCCTTGTCTATGTCCTCATTCTGTCTTAGCGGGCCCAAATAGACCTGCTGTGTAAGCCACTAGTCCCACCACAACATATGGTCATGTTCCATTGGGGAGGGCATGAGACTGAGGTCTTCATCCCACATCTTTTGCATCCCATGGGAGGAGTAAGTAGTGAGGTTGAGTTTTGCCCAAAGCAAGGCTTTTGTGTTTGTTTCTTATGCCTGCCTCCTTCCCATCCTCCCTTGTGCCCCCTAACTGGTTGCTTAACCTTAGCTCATGATACTCTCTACATGTTTTGTTAGTTTTTAAGGTGCTGCTAGACTATTCATTGTTTTTTTTAAAGATTTTCTCATTACAGATTAACTCTGCTACCCCTCTGAAGCTTTCTAACATGACAGAACATCCAGGCAGTCTTCCAGGGTTTGCTCGTACATTACACTCCCCGGAGATGTCTACACTTGCACCCTATTCCAATAGAGGGATGCAAATGAAGACATTCAAAATTGCAAATGAAGACTGGATTTACATATCCTGTGCTTCATTTGCATAATCACGTTATGGTGCTATTTCAAAATAACGCTATTTCGAAATAACAGGCGCTGTTAAGATGCATTTATTTCGAGAGAAACCCCTCCTCTCGAAATAACTGGTAAACCTCATTGTATGAGGAATAAGGGTTATTTCGAGAGAAGGGTTTGCTCTTGAAATAACCGCATCTTAACAGTGTCTGTTATTTCAAAATAGCGCTCTTTCGAAATAGCGCCATAACGCGATTATGCAAACGATGCGTGGGATATTTAAATCCCATCTTCATTTGCAGTTTTGAATGTCTTCATTTGCATACCTCTCTTGAAAGAGGGTGCAAATGTAGACATACCCAAAACCCCCATGCCCTCTAACACTTTACCCCTATCCTTTATTTCTTCCCATTATATTAAGAAACCCGTCTAGCCAGGCAGAAGCAACACACACAGGCTGGGCTCGTCTACACTGGCCCCTTTTCCGGAAGGGGCATGTAAATTTCATGAGTCATCGTAGGGAAATCCGCGGGGGATTTAAATATCCCCCGCGGCATTTAAATAAAAATGTCCTCTCTGGAAAGAGGGTGCAAATGTAGACATACCCAAAACCCCCATGCCCTCTAACACTTTACCCCCTATCCCTTATTTCTTCCCATTATATTAAGAAACCCGTCTGGCCAGGCAGAAGCAACACACACAGGCTACGTCTAGACTGGCATGATTTTCCGGAAATGCTTTTAACGGAAACATTTTCCGTTAAAAGCATTTGCAGAAAAGAGCGTCTAGATTGGCACGGACGCTTTTCCACAAAAGCACTTTTTTGCGCTAAACAAGTCTGAGCTGTCTACACTGGCCCTTTTGCGCAAAAGCTTTGAGCAAAAGGACTTTTGCCCAAACGGGAGCAGCATAGTATTTCCGCAAGAAGCACTGATTTCAGACAGTAGGAAGTCAATGTTCTTGCGGAAATTCAAGTGGCCAGTGTAGACAGCTTTTGCGGAAAAACTTGCCAGTCTAGACACAGCCACAATATCTTTGCCCTTCATTCATACATGTTAGAGTATCAAAAGTAAAACCTAAAATTCTTTTTCAGGATGACAAAGAAGCCTAGATACTAACACTTAAATAATTGGTTCAACGGATCAGTTCAATTACCTTAGGAAAGCTGGTTGAGATATGTGAATGAATAGTGCAATCCAAAGTCTTTGGGGTGTTAATACTATACATACTGCATTTCTCATTTTTTTACCCTACCCAGTCATAGCTGAGAGGGTTAAAATTAAAAGTGATGCACAAATAAATAGTAACTGGACTACTATAACATCAATTCATAGCTGATAAAGCAGATTGAAATGATTTCTAGGTAAATACAATTACTTAAGTATAAGAAAATATGCCCTGATCATGCATCACACGTTAGAGAGCCCATTTCACAGAATGAAAACTGCTGTTGACACAGCTGAACTATAACAATGATAACAGCAGTGAAAAGTTCATTACTCTGTCCTTTCAGCATGCCTTAGCTCAGATATGGAGTGATATCATATACAGCAGAGAAGGGAAATAAATTGCCTTTTCTAATTCTTATGCAGAACTTTTCATTCATAGTTCTCAAAAGTACTTTACAAAGGTCAGGGGCAGTAGCCCCATAGATCAGGGGAAACTGAGGCATGGAGCATGCACGTGACATGCACAAGCTCCCACAGGAGGCCAGTGACAGAGCCAGGAGTTAGCCCCATAGATCAGGGGAAACTGAGGCACGGAGCATGCATGTGACATGCACAAGCTCCCACAGTGACAGAGCCAGGAGGAGAACTCAGTGTAAAAGAAATAAAACACAAACGAACTCAGAACTAATTAGGCCTCAGCCGGGGTCCTGTGACTAGTTCTGAGCAGCACATTTTAGGAGAGACATGGGCTAATTGGAGGAAGTGGACAGGACAGCAAGAAAAATTATTAAACGTCTAGAAAACTTGAGCTATGAGGAAATAATGAAAACATGTTGGGGTTGTTTAGTGTGGAGAAGAGAAGAATGAGCCAGGGTCATGATGACAGTCTTCCAGTACATATATGATTGTTACAAAGAATGTGTGTGTGTGTTTGTTTGTGTGTGGGGGAGGGAGGGGGGAGATCAATTCTTCTTATCCACTGAAGACAAGAGAAGAGGTAACCAGCTTATATTGCAGCAAGGGAGATTGAAGCTAGACATTACAAAACAAAAAAAAATGGGTGGCACGTGCATCCCCCTTCTGGGAAGCTAGTCTCCTGGCTGCATCTCTTCTATCAGTCCCCCCACCCCTGCATGTCCAGAATCCTGAGCTTCCTCCCTCCAGGAAAAACCTTGAGGCTCCCCTTCGACTGGAACCCTGAGCCCTCCTGCCTTCCAGACAGGCCATGCCTCCCCTCCCCGAGACCACAAGCTCCCCCGTGGAATCCCCCTCCCCAGAACTTTTGGTATGCCCCATGCTAGTCAGGCCATGCCTCCCCTCCCCGAGACCACGAGCTCCCCCGTGGAATCCCCCCCCGAACTTTTGGTATGCCCCATGCTAGTTGCAGGGCAGATGAAGAGGCAGTATGGGTCTCTCAGCTTTCTGGGGTCATCAGTTATCTCCCACGACCCTGCAACCACCCTGCAACCTGCATGAAGCATAATAATAATAAAAAACATCCTGTATAAACCTTACAACTGGCGTCTGGTGGCCACAGCTACACCAGGGGACACTTAGCCTTCCCTGGCCTATTATACCCACCAGATATGGGGGGAAATGTCTAACTATAAGATAGTTAAACACTGTAACAAATTATCTGGGGATCTTGTGGATTCCCTGCCATGGGAGGTGGTTAAGCACACACTAGACAAAAATCTGTCAAGGGTGGTCTAGATGATGCTATCTCAGTGCAGGGGACTGAACTACATGGCCTGTCTCAGTTCTACAAATCCACCGTTCACCTGAGTCTTCATCCAGGGCACTACTCACTAGGCCATGCTGCCTCTAGCTCATATAGTTCACTCTCCATGTACATTCAATCCTTGGGACAACGGGCATTGACTTTCCCAAGTGACAGGGGGTGCTCAACCTGGGCTCTGCCCCAGACCCTGCCCTCACTCCATCCCTTCACTCACCCCACCTCTTCCCATCCTTGCATTGCCCCTGCCCTGAACCCACTTCACCCATTTCTGAAGGCCCCACCTTGCCTCTTCCTGCCCCTGCGCCATCCCATCTGCCAAGCTCTCTACGGCCTCACTCCTTCCCACTGCTCCCTCAGGCTCTGGAACACCACGAAACAGCTGATTGTAGCAGCAGGGAAGTGTGGGGTGGAAGTGGGGAGGTGTGGGAGCCTCCGATCTTCAAGGCTGGCAAGTGGATGGGAGGTGCTGGGGAGGATGTAGGGAGCTGATGTGGGGCTGTCTATTTTTCCCCATTGGTTCTCCAGCTCCAGAGCACCCATGAAGTCAGCACCTATGCTTGGGCCTACCAACAAGTCAGGGCAATTAGTCTGCATGGTCACAATGTTTTCTTTTCTTTTCTTTTCTTTTCTTTTCTTTTCTTTTCTTTTCTTTTCTTTTCTTTTCTTTTCTTTCAACACCTACCTGCTTGAAAACCAACAGAAAACAGTAGCTCATCTCCAGTGGTGTTGAATGGACAGCCATTAGATGGTCTCTCTAGCAACCTGGGCTGGATATGAGCCAGCAACCTAAACTAACAAAGGACCTTACCTCACAAGTAAGCCAAAAGCTATCTGCGAACAAAATGGACATTTATAACAAAATGTGGCATACTCTTTGTTTTCATTATTTCGTATAGATACAGATAAATCCGTAGTGCCTTGGGACCCCCATTCTTTGGCTGGAACCCCATTGTGCTCGGCATTGTAAAACAAAGACCAAAAGGACAGTCCCTCTTGTGATGAATTTCAATCATTAGATGATCGACCACAGATGGATACAGACAGAGACAGGGAAAATACATTCCACCCTGAGACAATACTGCTACCACACTATCCTGATAAGAACCAATCCTCACACTGCCTTTTCTTAGTTAATTTTAATACAATATGGAGCAATAGGGAGAAGATGGAATCTTTGCCCCAGCCTTGAGAAATTTGGAAGCAACTCCATAGGACCTTGTTGAAAATTCACCCTTTTATAGAAGGCATGTGCCACACAAGTCCTTAACTAGGGGTCGTAAGTGTCCTATGCTGTATGCTGTGTGACTTTTGGCACATGTATCTTCGTATTATTAATTATGTGTATTAACGGAGCATATGTAGCATCCTACAGAGATTCTAGTGTTGCAACTGTGATAAACACCATGTCAATACAACACAGCAACAATCCTTAACCCACACCATTTGCAATCGAAATAATAATACCTAGCTTTAATATGGCTCTTTTCATAAGTACATTCAAACCACTTTAGAAAGGAGGTCAGCAATGTTTTTCCCATTTTTCAGAGGGAGAAACTGAGGCACAGAGCGTCAAAGTGATTTGACGGAGGTCACCTAATAGCCCAGTGCCGGAACTGGGCACAGAACCCCGCACTTCCCAGTGGGTCACACTGCTGCTTGAACTGTGAGTGAAAATAATTATTAGGACTCTTCTAGACCTCAATCTCCCTTGCAGTCGAATTTACCTACCTCACGCCATTAGGAATTCTTTTTTTCTCGCTGTTCCTTTGCGTATTAACTCCCACCCCCGTGTAAGCCTCCGCCTCGCTCTCTCCTGCAGAGAGGGGAGCCTGAAGAAAATTGATGCAATGGCAGTTTGAATATGACATTCAGAAAGTGACTTTTTGATTTTCAATTAACCTTGCACAAAGAGGAAATATTGAAATTCACCCCTTTGTTCTTGGCTGCGGATGCCAGCCGGGCTGTTGTCGGGGGGAGTGGTGAACACGGTGGGTTGGAAGGGGGAGGGAGGAATTGGCACCTCACTCCGGCACTCCACTGCTATTTGCACAAAATGAGACTAGACTATCCTGCAGTAATTACTCTCTGAAGGGGGAAAACAGGTAGGAGAGAGAGTGCTCTTGTCATTTGTTTGACTTAATTGTATGCTTTTACGAGCCGGCTGGCTGGAAGGATTAAAGTTACTTTTAATAACACTTCCTTTCAGAAGAATTTGATTTGAGATTTCCCAGCAGGGCTGCCTACCTAGCAGCAGGACTTTTTCCTTTTCTATTTTCTCCCCCTATCCAGCCTCTAGTTCCGCCAATAATTTTTTTTCCCCTCTCATGAATGTTGGTATTGTTCTGGTTCTCTGAGGCTGCATAATGTGGCAAAGTTATCTTTGTAGAGACATTCAAATCATGTTTTTAAACCCCACCACAACCTGAAGTCAAGGAAGAGGCTTTATCGGTGCACATAGTTGGCATTGTTTTGGGGGTTCAGGGAGCATACTGCGTGGAATAGGGAAGTGTCAGGTCTATCCTGATGCTCTTTCTGTGAGGCAGGCATGACAAGAGTGGAAAAAATCAGGGCATGACTAACTGTCTGCTTTCAAACCACCATTTTTCACACTGGGAACATCCTTTCTCTGAACTTTCCCCCAGCTCGGGATGTCTGGTTAGCACAATTTCTTATAATCTCATACTACTAATCATAGAATCATAGAACACTACAACAAAAAGGACCTCAAGAGGTCATCAAGTCCAGTCTCCTGCCCTCATGGCAGGACCAAGCACCATCTAGATCATCCCTGACAGACGCCTATCTAACCTACTCTTAAATATCTCCAACGATGGAGAGTCCACAACCTCCCTAGGCAATTGGTCCCAGTTTTTAACCACCCTGACAGTCAGGAAGATTTTCCTAATGTCCAACCTAAAACTCCCTTCCCACAATTTAAGCCCATTGCTTCTTGTCCTATCATTAGAGATCCAGGAGAGCAATTTTTCTCGCTCCTCCTTGTAACACCCTTTTTAGTACTTGAAAACTGCCATCATGTCCCCTCTTAGGTCTTCTCTTTTCTAAACTAAACAAGCCCAATTCTTTCAGTCTTCCATCATATCTCATATTTTCTAAACCTTTACACATTTTTGTTGCTCTTCTTTGGGCCCTCTCCAATTTCTTCACGTCTTTCCTGAAATGTGGTGCCCAGAACTGGAAACAATACTCCAATTAAGTCCTAATCAATGCAGAGTAGAGCAGCTCCTCTGTGGTTTTATCTAATGAACGGAGGGCAGGGATTCGTGGATTCTTGGAGTTTATCCAAAGCTTTGGCCTGTTGCTGCCAATGAAAAATAAATAATCTATGGAACTTTTCTTAGAATCATAGAACACGAGAACTGGAAGGGACCTTGAGAGGTCATCAAGTCCAGTCCCCTGCCCTCCCAACAGGACCAAACACTGACTAGATCATCCCTTTTGTACTCCAATTAAGTCCTAATCAATGCAGAGTAGAGCAGCTCCTCTGTGGTTTTATCTAATGAACGGAGGGCAGGGATTCGTGGATTCTTGGAGTTTATCCAAAGCTTTGGCCTGTTGCTGCCAATGAAAAATAAATAATCTATGGAACTTTTCTTAGACTCATAGAACATGAGAACTGGAAGGGACCTTGAGAGGTCATCAAGTCCAGTCCCCTGCCCTCCCAACAGGACCAAACACTGTCTAGATCATCCCTTTTAATGTACAGTAGCAGGGTCTGTGCAACCAGTTAGTGCACGGTTAAGCTGTGTGTGGTAGATGCGTAGCCCAATTCACCCCATGCTAATTTTTCACATACATAAGCTGATCGTTTCTTTTGACCTCCCATAAAACATAAGCCAGGGAGTTTCTACTAAATTCTCCATGCAGAGCCCAAAAATTCGTATATGACTAAAAAAAAATCACAGAAAGCCATCCAGGCTTAATGTGAAAACAAGATTATGTTTGCTTATTCTGCAACAGAGAAAGGAGGATTTGAACCTGGAACCATTTGTCTAGATATACAAAGGACAATGTTTTCCACTGCGCATCCAACACCTGCCTAAACATTTATTTTTTAGTCTCTGGGTAGCTGTGTTAGTCTGTAAGTTTAGAAACAATGAGTAGTCCTGTGGCACCTTAGTGAGTAACTGAAATATAGGGTGTGTCGACACTGCACCCATAGCTTGAAATAAGCTACGCAATTTGAGCTATTCAGAAGCATCCCTTAATCCTCACAGAATGAGGTTTATAGGCATGTCGGAATAGCGCACCCATTATTTTGAAAGCTATTTTGAAATAATGGGCACGGTGTCTAGACATGGAAAATACTATTTTGGGATACTGGAAGCATCCCGAAATAGTGCCACTATTGAGATGCACTCATATGCAATCATGAGTTTACCTGCTTAAGACCCACTTCATCAGATGAGTGGGTCTTATCCACATAAGCTCATATATGTTGTTAGTCTCTAAGGTGCCACTGGACCACTAATTATTTTTTAATGCATTTGTGGCACGTTCATGTTGTTTTCAACTCTGAATCTTCAGCAATACAGTGCAAAGTTCTGCCATGTGAGCTACAGGACTAATGCAATGAAACAAGTCACACGGGTTCTTGTTAGTAGCAATGAATAATAGAAGGTGGGTCTTTCCCATCTCTAGGTGGCAACAATTCTGTAAACTGCAATTTGCGTATCTTGTTCTGCTTTTCTGTTGAAAGACGCTTTTCTGAAATTTGGAGAGTCTACGTGGCACCAAATTTCAGAAAAACCTGCTCTTTTGACAGATCTCTTCTTCCTCGTGGAATGAGGTTTATGGGGATGGCAAAAGTGCGTCTGCTTTTCCTAAAAAAAAATTCGGAAAAGCAGACGTGTTCCTTGGACACGGCATTGCTTTTCCGGTATACCTCCAGTATCCCACAAAAGTGCTGCGGTGTAGATGGATCCTCTCTGAAGCTGATTATCAATTATTTGCTTTCAGATACCTCATCAGCGTGTACCTGAGCAATGAAGGGTACTGGCAGAGTACATACAAAAAAGGAGCAGATTCCTAATTTCTGGGGCTAATGAACCTTCTTGGGTTAAACCAGTGTTCCAGGGAACCCCAGGGTTCCGTGAAGTGAAAATAAGGGTTCTGTGAGAAAATTCCATTACAATAACGTGTTATTATTTAAAAAATAATAATTAATATTAAGCATTTATGAATTTTATTGAAAACAATTTTCATTTGTGTTGATCTCATGACCTTGTTTAGCATTTGTTTATTATTATCCTTACTTATTTGTGGTCTACTTTTTCAGCTCCATATATATATGACTGCTATTAGGGGTTCCACAAAATTCTTTTGAGTTTAAAAGGGTTCCGTGGCCAAATAAAATTGGGAAACACTGGGTTAAACATTCAAAGTAGAACTGGCTGAAAAATGGGAATGTTATTTGCAGAAGTTTTTAAATTACAAATTAGTTCTTAAGGTATGTCTACATTACAAATACTACTGTGTTATAGCTGCCACTGTGGCATTGACACTTGTTTCTTCCATCACTGTACTAAATCCATCCCTTTGAGAGGTAGTAGCTAAGTAACATGCTTGAAACTTTTCTTTCTTTCTTTCTTTCTTTCTTTCTTTCTTTCTTTCTTTCTTTCTTTCTTTCTTTCTTTTTCTCATCATGCCACAAAGTCATTTCGTTCTGAACAAACCCGATGTCTACTCTACATTTGTAATTTGTTTCTTTAATATTCAGTTCAATGCAGTCTTCAGAGAAGTTGTAAACTGAGCTCTACAAACTTTCTCTTTTTAGTTATTCATAACTTTCCCGACAATTGTCTTCTGGGCTTCTATTTTTCATGCTTGGTCTCAGGCTGATGGTAAATTGTTGTTTGGAAAGTTTAAGTTGAAGCCATTTTTGAGTTGTGTGGAAAAAAATATGACTCTGTCCCAATATATGCCATTTGGAATTATTGCACTCAACTAACTCCAAAACGGCTGGAGCTAGAAACATCAAACTTAGTGTGTCTATACAACTCATTGAGGAAGGCAAGACAATAAAGCTTCAAAGGAAGCAGGTTCAATAGATTTAAGGTTATAAATATTTAAATTTGGCATATTTACAAATGCACACCAGACCGGTTTTCATTATGTTTTTCATGATGCCCTCCGGCTAACACAGTTTAGTACATTGGATGCACACCAAGTCCTTTTAGATTTTAGCTTGGCTTAACTGCTTAAGGCTGTACAGTGAGAAGCAGCAAAGCCTTCAAAGCTGCCTTCAGCAATGAGCTGTCCTAAACAGCTTTGGTGCAATCCTACTCCCAGATGAATGATTGGGTATTTTGCCTTCACTTCTCTATGGGTGAAATTCACTTCTCTGCAAAGGGCAGCCACCCTGCAGCAGGTTCCCAGCCAATGGAAGTGCGGAGCTAGTACTCAGGGCAGGGGCAGTGTGTGGAGCCTTGTGTGCTTTTTCTACCACCCTCAGGAACCAGACTTGCTACCAGCCACTTCTGGGGTGCAGCGCAGTCTGTGGTGTGAGAACAGGAAGGCAGCTGTCTTAGCCCCCCCACTGGTCACTTGATACCCCTGCAGCAATGAGAACCGGTGCCTGACATTCCACCACCCAGAACTGTTGTTTGAAAGCTGATGGTGTAAACGGCCATGATTCTGGTGTTATAATAGAAATAACCTTTGGGATGTTCCCAGGCAGAAAAACCTCCAGATATCTTCACAAGTGAACACCTTGCCTGGGACATAGTTTCCATTTGTGGTATGTATAGGGCCAGTGCTCAGTCCCATAACAACTGAGCGACTCACCACACCCCGAGACGTAAGGTAGTGCCATTGTTCCCATTCTACAGAAAAGGTAGAAAGATCACTAGGGCTAGGTCCACATTACAGGCCAATAGTGGTATAATTAACCCATTCAAGGCTGTGAACTACCTACCCCCATGAGCAACATAGTTAGACTGGCCTAACCCCACCCTGCCCCGTGTGTAGACAGTGATGTTGATGGGAGAGCTTCTCTTGCTGACATAGCGACTGCCTCTTGAGGAGGTGAATTAACTAAGTCAATGGCAAAAGTTTTCCCGTCAGCCTAGGAGACTCTTTAGATATACAATTAAGGAGTAACGTTAGTTCGAACCAAGGGTTTTGGTTCAAACTAACGCATCCCGGAGCACACTTTCACTTTCGAAACAGCTGGCATTCAGAGTAATGTGCCGGTGAGATCATGCTAATGAAGCAGGGGATATTTAAATCCCGACTTCATTGACTATTTTGAATGCCTGCATTTGCATCCCTAGTTCGAACTAGGGTGCAAGCATAGAAATACCCATACAGTGCTACAGGCAGGGGGATCGACAGACTTGCCAGGTCCCTGGGTCAGGTGTGTGTGAGGGACATCGCTACACATCCCTGGAAGGGGCAGGATCTCAGGCCAAAGGGGCAGGTCTGGAGTTAGCGTCTCCCTCCCCAGCCCATCAGAGCTGCCTCAAGCATGCTGCCTGGGGCTCTGGTGGCGATTTAAACGGCCCGGGTCTCTGGCTGCTACTGTATTGGTAGTAGCAGTGGCAACAGAAGCTGGGAACCCTCGGCCCTTTTGAAATGCAAGGCCATGGGGCAGTTGCCCCCTTTGCCACCCCCTGTTGGAAGGCCTGGATATAGAAGAACAGCTGTTCCGGTGTAGTTATGCTTCTGTAGCACTATACATGAAGAAAAGCCCTAAGTAACTTGACCAAGGTCACAAAGTATGTATGTGGCAGAGAAGGGAATGAGGCCAGCATTATAACCCAGGGGCACTACAGTTTGATGCATGCTACTCTTACAGTCTCACATCAGAAAGCTTTTCCCCTCATTTCCACACAGATGGCATCACAGCCTGCAATGAGATCTGATTCTACTCAGCACACCACAGGACTGTGGAAGTTTGCAGAGTTGGTCTGAATTCAGAACCAGAGCTAAAACTTACTAACCTCAGGAGTTTAGAAGTCACGCCTAAGAGTATTTCAACCAGGCTGACCTTCTTCTTTTTCCACCAGGTTTCAACGACTCAAAATTGAAGTGCTTAATAAAGGAAAGAGAAAGAATTTTGATGCTACCGACTGTTAAGCAATTTAAGCTCTGACTGCACTAACCTTAAAGTAAATGAACCCCGGTCCAGGAGCTGCATGATCAAATGCTGTTACAGAATAATTTAGTCCAACAGGATATTTCAGTAATGAAATAAAAGCTTATTCGGTGCATATTTAAAGCACTCACTTGTCACTTGCTCTGGAGTCCAGTCACTACATATGCAAACGCTCCTGACAACTTCAAATGTAGGGCTGAATTGGACTCCATGAAATGGAATTTTGGGCTGAACATTTCCAACGCCACAGATTTTGTATGCTCGTTAGCTCATTATGGTTGCTATTAGTCGAGAGCCCTAATCATAGAACAGCACCAAAAACAGCACAAGAAGACTGTCTTTTTAGCCAGGGCACCTGCAATCTGTAAAGCCAAATATACTTAGATTACACCACTGATATTTCTATTTCCTAGACAAATTTGACTAAATTTAGTTAAATCTTATTGAATTAAATTGAAGAATTTTAGTATCGCATGGTATTTAAAATGTAAATATGTATGTATTATCATGGGATAGTGTGCAACTCCTTTAGGAGGAAGCCAGGATCAGTGGAATATCTGGGAAGTATTGAGAGATTGAAAATGCTGCACAAGGCAGTGGCTATGAGGGACGAAAGGTGCATTTAGCGCAGGAACTTGGATACATCAAGTGAAGTGATTGATACAATTTTTCGGCATGTCCTTTCTTGTGTTTTTCCAGACAGATTCTAGTTCTGCGCAGAAGTGGAAAGTGCTACTCACTGGCTATTAGGCCATCTTAAATTAACAATGTATGCAGTATAAATATTCAACCTCAATGACCTGGTTTATAACAACTGTTTGTCACATCAATAACGACAGTCATCTCTCCTACTAGCTAGTGTTTGGAGGTTAAGGATGTAAAACATGCAACTTACAAGGAAACACTAAATAGAGTGTTTATTTAAACATCTTCTAAAAAAAATTCTGTTTGTCTACTTGACCTAACTACTGACTTCAATGCAATAAAGAGGCATTCTAACACCATTAGTCTCTGGATTCCAGCCAAAGGAAAGCTCCTTACTTTATATCCCTTTAGGCAGTGCTGATGAAACTGCCGAAAAGTAACATTTAGTAGCACTTAATTCATTTTAAATGGTAGGGCAACTGGCAAAGTGTATCCCAGGATGACAAAAGACAAGGTAACGGGGATTAAAGGTCTTGCCCAAGAAAGGAGTTTTCTTAATGAATATTAAAAAGAATATGTTGTTTCCATTTAGGTCACTCACAACAAAATATAATCCTATATGAAATGGTGGCTTCATGTTGAAAAATTGTCTTTCAAATGATACTGAAGGTTCCGCTCCCCCGCTCTCCAATGCATTGCAGTCAAGAATTTCCACGCCTCTCCCCCTTGTTCTAATGCTCTAGCACAATGAAATTAAGTAGTCCAGATAGCTAATGCAAACTGCTCAGGGACAAGATGATTTTGAGTGTTTTGTTGAGAGCCAGTGTTTAAGTAAACATTACAAATTATCGTTGTGTAGTATATAATGTAGAATGAGGCCCTTGAGCAATGTATTATTCATAAAATACATCACTTTATCAGATGGATCGTATTATTTTTTTAGAGAAGGAAATTTTTAGTCCTGTGTCTGAGCTAGCATGTTGATGGCAAGAAGGAGTATGTCTATAATCATAGAATCATAGAATACTACAAGGGACCTCCAGGGGTCATCAAGTCCAGTCCCTTGCTCTCACCACAGGACCAAGCACATCTAGATCATCCCTTATAGATGTCTGTTGAACCTTCTACTAAATATCTCTAATGATGGAGATTCCACAACCTCCCTAGGCAATTTATTCCAGGTCTTGGATGAACTTGAAGAATAGGTGCCTTTTTCTCCAAAGATTCCATCGAAATTACACATAACATTTAGTGAGCAGAAGGTATTGAAGAGTTTATTCGTCACTGATTTCTCTAGCCCAAGGTGACGCCTGAATAAAACTGCTAATTCTTTCATCTCTAATAAAATAAAATGGAAGTTGAAGAACAACAGAGACATTTATATACTGAAGTGTCTATACAAAACACAGTAAACTATTAGAAATAATAAATATCAGGTAAATGTGCTACTAAATAATGGAGACTCTGATCTAGGATAGGAGACTTTAACTTGTCAGATCACAAACAGGTCTCAAGAGTCTGTACCCACATATTTTAGGAGGGTCACGTTAAATAAATACCAGTTGGATAGAAAGGGAATTCTGAGGGGTCACAGCATGGAAAACCACTAACTGAGTGGCAGTTGCTGAAATGCAAATGGATATTTGTTACTAAAATAGTAGTACAGACATTATGTACATTTCCAGTCTTGGGCATTAGGGCAAAGTTATTTGGAGTTAGCAGACCTGGCGTCTATCACTAATCCTGCCATGAATTGACCACCTTGTGCAAATGACTTTTATTTCAACATTTTTCAAACTTCAGGAGTTGACTCCATAGTTAAATGCTGGGTGTAGCTGTTAGTTCACTGAAATAGGACATAGGAGTGCCTGAGTTCTAGTCCCACTTCAGACACTGGCCAGGTCTTTGTCCTTGGATGAGTTGCTGAGATTCCCTGTGCTTTTGTTTCTTCTCCTATGTAGCATGGAAGCTACAATTTGCACAACAGAGATTGGTGAGGAAAAGCCATAGACTGGCAGCCTACAAGAGGTTAACATTGTAGATATGCAGGTAACAATTGATTGTATCATGAAATAAACAGATGACACAAACAACGGAGATTAGAGGGAATTGAATCTTACACAGACAACTGAGGTGAGAGGGAAAGGACAATTGACTACAGAAAGATGGCAAATAGTTACTAAGCAATGGGCTTAAACTGCAGCAAGGGAAGTTTAGGTTGGACATTTGGAAAAAGTTCCTAACTGTCAGGGTGGTTAAACACTGGAATAAATTGCCCAGGAAGGTTGTGGAATCTCCATCTCTGGAGATATTTAAGAGTAGGTTAGATAAATGTCTATCAGGGATGGTCTAGACAGTATTTGGTCCTGCCATGAGGGCAGGGGACTGGACTCGATGACCTCTCGAGGTCCCTTCCAGTCCTAGTATTCTATGACTCTATGATTCTATGAACATTTAGAAAGAAGTACAAACATTTGGTTTTCACTTGATTCCTTTTTTTTAAGAACTTTTTTTCCCCTTTGGTAAAAAATTGAGACTTGCTGGAAGAAATGGACAATTTGCGGCAAACCTCCCAAATGGCCATTTTTCATGGACATAAAATGAGTCAACCCTTTTGATCTGCTCTAGACATTTCTAAACCAACCTACATAAGGTCTGCATTGCAAGAGATGGAACAAACAGCGAAAGCCGTTCTCTGGCATACAGGTTATTTCTTCTAAGAACAGAAGGAGGTGACTTTTGTTGAGCAGCAGTAAGGAAATTACCCTCTCAGCTACAGGAAATTACACACTGGGCTGGTGAGGAGCTTTCATGAGGGAGACGGAGAAGAGACATATCTGCTTCAGAACATACTCCCTAGAAGCTGCTGTACTTTATTGAAGTCCAAGCGTAGCTGTTTATGGGCTGCTCTGTGCACATGAAATAACTGCTAGGTACTGTGCCCCACATTCCAAAGAATACTTAATGCTCTGAACATGCCTCATCCCATTTCTCTTCCCCCTGAGAACTATCATCAACTGGAATCTCCCAGGGAAGGTAAAATAGGGCTGTACTTGCTACTCCTGCCTACAGAAACGTTCCCAGCCCTGTCGTAGACCCTTCCATCACTGGAGAACGTACAGGAACGAGGGACAATATCTGGCTGAGGGTGCTCATTTCAAGCCAAAAAATATATTCCGTTCTCCTTCCTTTTGAAACATATACTACATTTTACTTCTTTGATTTCTGTTACGACGTGCCACTTCAGTAGAGAATGTATAAATTTGTGATGCAAGGGGAAACAAACTCTACTTGATACACTATAGAGAGCTGTAGCAATTCAGAAGCCATGGACAACTCTGATCATTGATATTTCACTTTGAATTCCACTTTCTCAGCTGGGGAACTGGCCATAATAAAAGGGCAGCACACCGGAGAGCTGGTGAAAGATCTCTTTGCCTTCTGGCCCCACTCACTGATGTACGTCAAGAATGCAGATGGCCTGGTCAGTTTTCACTTTTTTCCAGGGGCTAATTCAGCAGTGGCCTTCTGCTAGTTCAAACAAGATTTAATTATGGATTTCAGAATGTAACACAGGAGTAAATGGCAAGGCTGCTTCATTTTTCTTGCAAGTGAGCTCCAACTCCCCCCTCCTCCCCAAAGAAACACCCTAGAAGCCTTCATAAATCATGCAAGTTGCCTCCTACCATGCCAGCAAAATTATCTTCTCTACACTAATCATCAATATCATTGACCTTTGTCATAAAACTTGGGTCATTTATATCTATATCCCATTAAAAAGTATCATCCCACAACCACCTCTTGGGTTCTATTAAAGTCATGTCAAAAAGAATCATTGACTTATTGTCAAAGCCATCCAGCCTTCTGCATTATTACACCTGCAGACACTTCACTAATCACTCAGCAAACAATGCACAGCACTTACTGGGCAATGAAAAGTGAGGGACAAGGGCTAAAGTACCCTGTCCTCCTACTTGCATGGCTTTGATGGAGATGATGATAAATGAAAGAGGATGCACAATAGGCTTTTGCCATTTTCCCAGCTTCCCTGAGGTGCCGACTTGCATAGGCACCACGGCTAATTTATTTTCTGTTTCTCCTCATTGCTCTGTGACGGAGCAAGAAGTGCAAGAGTATTTAGTTTAGTGAGTGAATCAAAATGGGACAGCTTCTTTTGTTGTTTTCATTCATGGACCAGTGTTGCTAATTCCTCCTCCTACCACTTACTGATCTTTACTATTCCACTGCTAACTTATTCTATCCAAAGGGAAGACATTTGGGGTATTCCCATTCTTTCTTCCTCACTGGAGCACAAACATTTGGAGTTAGATTCTATTCCTAGCACTGCTGCTGGGTTCATATACCACCTTGGGCAACTAATGTAGGCCCCTATTTTCAAACTGGGGTGCCTAAATCTATATTTAAATGCTGGGCCTAGCAGATAGGACTTTGGAGTGGGACC